GCCGGGAGCCGCCCCCGCCGCGGGCCAGAGGCGGCGGTGGCAGCTCTGCGATAACGTCTTCCAGAAGGGTGGGGGAAACCCGGTGCAGCAAGGTGCTGCTGAAGAGAAGAGCGAGGAGGCGCGAGGCAAAGAGCTCTGCGGGCGCCAGGGTCGGTGAAGAAGCCGGGGAAGGGGGTGCTGCAGGGCGGGGGAGCGGAGATGCCCCCGCGGCGTGACGGAGGTTTGCTCCCTGAAGCCCGCGGAGGTGGGTGGGACGAAGGTGTTTTAAGATTCGGTTTTATTTCTCGTTACCCTGCTCTGATTTGACTGGTAATAAATCCAACTAGCTTTTTTTTTTTTTTTTTCCCCCCCAAGTCGGCTCCGTTTCGCCTCGTGACGGTGATCGCCGAGTGACCTCCCTGTCCTTATCTCGACCCACCAGCCTGTCGTTATGTTTACCGTCCCCTGTCCGGCCGAGGAGGGCAGTGATAGAGCAGCTTTGCTGGGCACCCAGCACCCGGCCTGGGTCAACCCACCGCACCAACCCATCGAGCCCATTAAACCAAAAAAATACAGTAAACCGAGCTCTGCTGCCCCAAAGGTTAACCTGAACTGCTCTGCTGCCACCTTTCCGCCTTCTCCCGTACTGGTCCCACCACAAGGCTGGGTCCCAACTGGGTCAGATGGATGGGAAAGGAGAGAAGAAGCCCCGTGCCCCCCAAAACCTGCTGCAATGAGCCCGGTTCTCTCTCCACCTCCAGCACAGACGACGCTGGCCCCAAACATGGCCAACACGAGGCTTTACCTCTCAGAAGACCGCGGGGTCTTGTGGCGGAGAAGCCCTGAGCAGGACCTGCCCTCCAACCTGGGGAGGTTCAAGGTCCGTCCCTACGTGCTGGGCTTGATGGGCTTCACGTCGTGTTGGCCCTGCCGGGAGCTGGAGCTCTGCGGAGAAGGCACGCGGGCCATCGAGGTGGCAAGGGAGGTGTGGCAGCTGGGCAGGAGGCTCTGACCTCTCCCACTATCACCCCCTTCACCGCACGCAACGCCCCCCGGCGGATACGAATCTGCTTGGACCGTCAGGAAGGGAGGGTGGTGGCTCTCGGTGGGCTGCGGGCAAGGCACGTTGGCGTCTTCGGTGCACGGTCCCGCCGCTGGCTCG